AAAATCTGTGAAATTCACTTATAAGTGCATGCACCTATATGCGGCGTAATACGGTAATAATATTTAATGAATTGTTTGTGTCTTTAATTAATTACACAATAATTAATATCATGTTATTTAATAATAAATAAATATCATTTAGTTAATTTTAATGGATTTTTAATTTAAACATATCAATTCATGTAACTTGTTCATCTCCCACTCTCACTTTTATAATGAAAGAGTTCTCTCTCTCATCAATCAATCCCAAAATCTAAAACCCAACTTGATCAAAAGGTTACTCTAACTACATTACTTACCACAAAATATGCCCAAGTGTTATTTTTGAATTGGGCTCCAACGCTTCCAACATGTGTCCGATAGCATCCCATTTGCTAGCCTTAGTCGCGCGCATGTGTTGATTAACGCCCCTGATTACTTTGATGGCTTGCACCCTGTTGATTTTGCACAAAATCATAAACCGCTCGTAGAACTCGGGCTTAGCCGCTGCCAATAAAATCTCGCGCACCGCCGGCTTTAACAACAGGTCAATATTTATTTTACCATTCAACTCGACCGCCCTAGGTACAATTTAATTTGTAATTTACTAATTAGTAAATAGTTATTACAATTCATTTATACATTGCAACCTCTTAATAGGATATTAATTTTTTTAAATTGTACAAATGTATAAACTTGTGTATTGCAACTTAAATGAGATTAGTAACTAACCATGATAAAAGTTATAAATAATACTCACAATTTATTTGAGGATTCTTTTATATAACCGAGCTTATTGCAATAAGCAGTGATGGACTCGTTGGTATCCGGTAGAGGTTTACCTGTACCATATATCTCCCAGTTTTCAAACAAATCAATCAGCCACTTTTGATTCTCGATACTAGCGTTGCACATAGTACCTAGGGCAATAATAATAATATTAGCTTGTTTATACATCATTAGAATTTAGTGAGGGTATATTATAATTTTCAATATGAGTTATACAATACATGTATAGGTTATATGTGAGTTAATTATTGTAAAGTTTAACATTTATAACCTAAAACTAAAATAGTTTTTAACTACACAATGTTTACACAAAGTTAATTACACAATGTTTACACACAATTGTAAAATGATCAAGATAAAAAAGTATACTTACAAGCCAATGCCAACACAATAATTATTTTTATCATGTTTTAAAAATGTCGATTGTTTTGCTCCTATCTATTAAATGTGTTAAATAATTTAATTAATTTTCAATATAAATTATATACATATGGTGATTGCTTGCAATAATTTAATTATAATTATATTTAACATTAAGCATGGAACTACTGATGCTATCTATTATTTCATAGCAAATTTATACTCTTTCATATAAAAAATCACAGAGAAATAGAATTGATCATGTTCCAATTTACCTGATGATCCACCAAACACATCGTGCTGAAAATGAATCAACAACAAAAAATAAAATTAATTATATATAGTATAATGTTTAAATGTCTTAATTATTTGTAGAGTATATAAATAATTACTATTTAATAATGTGATACAAAAATACAAAAAATATAATGTAACATTAATTACAAATTAATAGTAATTAAATTACATACACTGTATAATAACTTTATATAATTAAAAGATATTCTAATCTACTTTATGTTATTTATTATTGAATTAATCAAATTCATCACGGTGTTTAATTTTGACCAACATGCGTTTTACACTTGCTATTTGAATCAGGGGGTTAAAATAATCCATCTCCTATTATAAGTATAAATATAAATAAATATAATAATTGAATGAAAAGTATAAGTATTAAATCTGGACAAATTAAACTAACCTTGGTCTCATCGCACGGCACAAACTCATACCTACACAACAGCTTAACTAACGTATACTTGAGCTCTAATATCGCGAATCGCAAACCAATGCAATTGCGCGGACCGGTAGAGAAGGGTAGGTATGTATACGGTTTGATTTTATCTAGATTTTCTGGTAGAAAACGCTCCGGCTTAAACTCTAAAGGGTCCGAAAAGTTGGCAGGGTCTAAATGTAGTGCCCAAATGGGTATTATAATAGGTGTGCCTTTTGGTAAATGAATGCCCTCTAAATGAGTGTCAATAGTAGGGTGTCTCTCAATTCTGTATATTGAATAAATAGTTTAATCATTTATAAAACATGTGGCAACACTACATACCGGGTGATCGAACAGTTAACTCGCATCACTTCTTTGATAAATGCGTCCAAAAATGGCATTCTTTGCAATTTTTCGTAATCCATAGATAACTGATTGTTAACCTTAGTATACAGTGTGTTACAAATCTCGTCGACCAGTTTTGTTTGATACCAGGGTTTGAGCGCAAGTATGCGAGTAATGAGACACAACTGCGAGGCTGTGGTCTCGTGTCCGGCGGCCAACATGTTAATTGCCTGACCAATCACTTCCACCTTGGTCAATTCTAATTACAATTAACGGTATTTTATTTATCACTTATTTTTAGCTAGAAATTAATAAAACATTAATTTTATATTTACTATCAAAAGACTTGTTAGCATTGGTGGGAGGGTTAGGATACATATCGGCCCATACGCTGGCGTCAACCGAGTGCTGTAGCAGATCGGGCACCTGTACATCCCGGGCCACTCGTTCACTAACCACGTGATCCACGCTATCAATAATTATTTGCATTTCTTGGCGACTAAAAAACGGTATATTAATGAATCGCCGGATAAATGGCATGTAATACACGAGCCAATCGTTAAGCCCTTGATCAATTTGAAACATTGTTTTAACCGAGGTAAACAGTGGATTGTCATTTTGGTGACCCAGGGCGTTTGCGTCAGCCCCGGCTACAGCCCTAGTAATCACGTCAAATGCAAATGAGTCGTAAACTATGCGAAAGTCTACCACTTGGCTGTCGCGGGCTTTCGGGTCCAATAGAGTGGACAACAGGTCAAATGTGTCCGACATTATCGGTAGCATAGCTTTGAGGCGACCGGTGGTGAAGGCTGTGGAGTGCAGCGCACGGATGCGTTTCCATTGACGGTATCGGCAGAAAAATAACCCATGGCTTATGGGTTCCGAGATTGATGCAAGTGCCTAGGTGATTTATTGTTAATTAATTTAGTAACTAAAAATTATAATTTACTTTTCAGCATTGTAAAAATATATTGATTTATTAATATTGCATTTTGTTTTAACTACTCTAGCTATAAGTTATTATTACAAATTTAGTTTGCATTGAAACATACCCTGTGTTCAGCAAATTTATGAAATTCGGTGACAAGTATTTTACGTATGAGATTGGGATCAGTTATGGATAAACATGGTCTTAATCCTTCGTAAAAGCTTATAATAAAAGAACATTTTTCATATACTTTAAACATAATTTATAAATTGCTAGTAAGTTTTCAAATACCCGACAATTTTCCCGTGTTTTCTGTGGCACTCATTGTCCGCGATATGAAAGGGTTGACCACTTCTGGCCGACCATTCGGTCGGTATTCCCTGTCGTCTCTAAAATGTCCACTATTTAATAAATACGGCAATTGTTAACACTATCGGTAATAGTATGAACAACACAACTTAAAACATAATTATTCAAATATTAATGTAATTATTTGGCATTTAATTTGAATTGTAATTGACATAACTCAAACTTAATTTTAAGTAATTAATATATAAATTTCATTTATATATTATCACACAATTATTATTTTGATCAGTTTATATTAACATTAACCAGTTGAGCTATTTTTTAATTACTTTTTAAATATTTGTTTATTAAAAACAAGTATACAAAATATATAAAAATTAATTATTATACTTATATTTACTAACATTTGTAACAATGAAATGAGTATAATATTTTTTACATCTTAAAAATATGCTATTATTATTTGTATGTAAATTTATTGTTAGATAACTATCAACTTATATCACAATAATTAAAACCATCATTAATTAACGTAATTTATTAAAATTTTAAATTACAAACAAATCAACAAATCTAATTAAAAAATATTGAAACGTGGCATATAAATAATACTGTATTGTAAACAGTAAGTTATTATGTATTGTATAATAAATTGCAAATTAAATTAACCTCAATCAAATAGCCGAAGCAATGTTGTTGAAAATGTGGCCAACAGCTGTATTGGTGGCCATGGTCGTTTGTGTGGCATTGGCGGCGCCGGGCGAAAAGTCTAAACCTAAAAGTCCGAACAAGGAGTCTAACATGGAGTTTAAAGGACCCATTTATCGAGAATCAAAACTTAATATCAACCTTGAAACAGCTAAACAAATATGCCGAGGCCTTACTTGCGACAAGCCCAAAAATGTAGCATGTGTTATTTTTATGACTACTGCCGCTCCTCGTCCACAGTGCGGAGACAACAACAGCCTAAAGAAAAAAACCAATAAATTTAAACTTATTGATCATTGATTATTGCGAACAATGTTTCACAATATGTTTATTGTAAAATTTTAATCAATAATAAATATGTTTTATAATTATTTTAAACAATATTACCACTTTATTTTAATTTAATAATTTTGTATTTTTTATTTGAAAATTGAGTATACTTTTGTGAGAATATGTATTTGTGTGATAAAAATGTACGTAAGTATTATATTTAATTTATTATGATTATCATTATCATAATCCTATGCTTCAATTTTATAGTTTTATTGTATTACATGTTGTTTGGTTAACACAATATGCACAACCAATTTGACCCTATATATTGAAATGAGGACAGAGAGAGAGAGAGAGAGAGTAAGAGAGAGAGAGAGAGAGAGAGAGAGAGAGAGAGAGAGTAAAAATAATTAATAATACAACATACCATCATAAGCAATATATTGTGCACGTGTAATTAAGTTAAAATCTACACAATTTACTTAATTTTTCATCCACTATAATATACCAATGTGTTAATTTCATTCAAATTAAAATTATTACAATTTAACAAATAAAGTTAAATGTTGCATTTATTATATACATAATTTTCTCATGCCCTTCAATATCTAAAAATAATTATATAAAAGTTATTATATTAAAATTATCAACAAGGTTAATAAATGATTTATATATAAATGCATTTAAATTTAATTTTAATGCTAAAATAACATTTTTTATAAATTTATAATTATTTTTAACCACAATTCAGTATGAATAATGTGGTTTATAGGATCGTTCTCCCCCTCCTCCCACCCCTATCCCGCCTCCTCCCGTTCTATGGGATTTAACATGGGATCACAGCTTAAACCTATGGCATAGACTTAACATGGGAGAGCTCTCATAGGATTAACATGGGGAAGCTTTAACATGGGTTTCTATGGGATTACAGCTTAAGTCTATGGCATAGGGTTAACATGGGTAATGCTAAGTCTATGGTATAGGGATAACATGGGTAATGCTAAGTCTATGGCAATCAAATGTCTATGGGTAATGCTAAGTCTATGGCATAAGAATAACATGGGTAATGCTAAGTCTATGGGGAATTAACATGGGATTGCAGCATAAGCCTATGGCCATACTTTAACATGGGTAATGCTATGTCTATGGCATAGGAATAACATGGACAATTCTAAGTCTATGGCAAT